TTTTCCTTTTTTTTTTTTTTTTTTTTTTTTCTCTTATATAATACCTCTGTAGACTGAGCCTATGAATCAAACATAATTAATTATTTTGAACCATTTTTTTTTTTTTTATTTATGATTGTTTTATTTTAGTCAGAAATTAATGCTCAATCAGAATATCTTTCACAAAATGTTGTTAATGTAACAACAAAATATAAAGATAAATTGACTACGATTAAATCTCGTTTGTAAGTCTTATTTAGAAAAAAAAAACATAATTAAAGAAATTTTAATTATTATAGAGAACAAGCAGAACATGAAAGACGTGAAGTACAACTTCGTAATGAACATTTTCAAAATGATATTGAACGTCTTAAAAATGAATTAATGCATAAAAAAGAACTTATTTTTGAAAAAGAAAAAATTATTCAAGATACACAACATAAAAATCGAGAAATTCTTCTTCAAAGACAATCAATTGAAGAACGAATATCAAATGAATATAAAAGATTAAATGAACTAGTTGATAAGTATGTCAAGTCATTTTATCTATCTTTTGATATATATATGTCGTGCCGAAGTTACAACTTCGACGGATATTTTTGTCGAAGTTATAACTTCGGCAATATAACGTTTGTCGAAGTTGTTAACAACTTCGATAAACGTTATATTGCCGAAGTTACAACTTCGGCGCGACATATATATATCTTAGCGTTCAAATCTCGAAATCATCAACTAACATATTATATTAAAGTAAAACTTAACCATGACACATAACAGATCCGAGAATCTTGGACTCCATTTGGAGTTATGGTCGTTACACTAGATATTTTACTTTTGGTAGAGTATTTATAATTAAACTAAAACTTTGCCTACAGACACTTCCAGTAAGAAAGAATAGCTTCTTTACGAAATATCAAATTCACAAAAAAACTTTATACGTGATTCTAACGAGTTCAAGAGTTGTCTATGGACAAAATTTTAGTCCAAAACTGGTCTGTCTGGTATTTTATATGAACACCTGTGTTAAATATTAAAAAATCCAGTATAACGGTCATAACTCCAAAAGGGCAGCAACACATTGAGAAGAATCTTCCTAATTTTCTTCTAGTCTCAATAGATCCTACATGATGACAGTAGTCTCATCTCAAACGCAAGTTATAACCTCGAATAGGTCTCCTCCGTAGTCTCTAATCCGAGATCGGCCTAAAATTTTCAGTCGAATCTAAGATTGGACGCTAACATATATATATATATATATATTAATTTCTATTAGAAATGGTCATCTGGAAGAAGAATTAGATCGTATTCGACGAAATCAATTTTCTGAAAATATTATTGTTCGACAGTAAAAGAAAATAATATTTAATAAAGCAATTTGATATAATATCTTTTTTTTGAAATTTTCTTAGAATGGAAGTTGTTAATGATTCATCGAAACAGATTGAAGAATTTAAATTAAAAGTATATATATATATTTAATATAGAAAATAGCATTTCATATATTATATAACTAATATTTATTTAGATTGATGAATTTGAACAACGTTTTATAGAAGAAAAAACTTCTAAAGAATCATTACAAGTTCAAATGAAAATACTTGAAGAAGAAAATACAGATCTTCGAGATATTATGAATCAAATGAGAAAACGAGCACAATATGGTCGAAAGTAATTCTTATATTACTTTTTATTTTATTTCATATTACATAATCATCATTAATCTAATAAACACAAGTAGAAAAAAAACCTTAAAATCATACAAATTTCCCTAGCAAAAATGTCAGAATAATTTTCTATTCTCAATGAGATTCTGTTATATTTTAGTTCCATTCATATGCATTAGATTACTCGAATGCATATAGCAGACATTGAAATTATTCAACAACGTTTGCTTTTCTTTAATTTTCCTTCCAGTGAGGTCAACGCTTGAAAGAATCCAAATAGAATGACTCAAGTAGAGAAAATCGTTTCCAACAAGAATAATTATCAGATGCTCAAAGACTAGATTTCTAGGTAACGAAAACCTTCTCTTTAAGAAATTGAAAAATAAATTTAGGCGTGCTCATTATATTGTTGTATCTCAACTTAAATAAAATTATATTGACACATTACAGGTTTTTTTGAAAGCCGAGAGTTTTAAGGTCCCCCCCCCCCCCCCCCACAACCAACACAAACCATCACTAACCCCACACCGGACAAACAAAAAGAAAACAAAAGACACCCGTCGGTG